GCTTTGTAATCATTATGTTATTGCTGCCTGGTGTCATTTTTTGCACTTAACACATAGATAGATGAAATATTAGGCTTGTCACCATAATACATTTTGCAATTCCAAACAGGTGGGTATTTAGTCTAGATTTAAATATACAAAATTAATAAACAAAACAACAGAACAATAAATAAAGTGAATTAAGATTTATCTGTAAACATCGTCCTTCAACATAGTGGCTTGTTGGGCCAATTCACTGGACTGAAAACAATTTTTGGTAGGAGAGCAAAACAATAAATCATGCAATTTGAAATTATTGTTTGTTTTAATGTGATGAATTGATTTATTGCGACAGGCCTATGAGTGCACTTGATGAATAAAACAATCTTAAGACTTGTGAAATAGTTTTTCCTTATGCTGTCTCTTGTTGAAGTGTTGTTTGAAAACGTACATCGTCAGATATTGTCTTTGAAATGGCTCAGGAGCGTCTGCAGCAGTACTACTCCAGCAGGGTGGTGCTGGCTCCACATGAGGTGGAGAAGGCTCAGTCTCTGGCTCTGGATATCTGCACTGAGATCCAGGGCTTTCTCCACAGCCGTCATCAGGACATGCCTCTAGGAGAAATGAACCTTGGAGGTTCTCTCCTGGATGATTTGCAGGTATCTTTGCAAAACTGGTCATTTCTTCTCTTGTTTGAAGATGCAGTTTTTCATAGCTTGCACTTTTTTGTTTTTTTAGCAGGGTGTTGCAAAAATCTTCCCAGAGTGTTTTTAATGTGTGTTTATATTTAGGTGGTCAGTGCAGACCATGCATGTCTGCTGGTGCCTCTGCAGCTGGAACCTTCATTATGGCACCTCATTCCTGGGGAGGAGACCCTCCTAACACACCCTTTGCACTGGATGGTCCGACGGATCAACATGGAATATTTCCCTAGAGGACGCAGTTACTGGGACAGGTAATCTCACACACATTAAACAATGTCATGGTGTGTCGTAAGAAGGGATATCAGTGTGAACATGTGCGATTAAAATGAACATTTTAAGATGTTAATATTGGATAGTGCAGATTAATTGAACTACTTATTTTGAGCTAAAGCCTCTCTCCTGCAGAGGGTTACCTAGTTCACAGCAGCACGTTATGAATTCCACACTGCAACAATCCACAGCAAAACGTGAAAGTTTTCAGCAACAGCAGACAGCAACTAAAGTTTAAAATTTTTAGCCAGTGTGTCACATCTACATGTACGCTGCCAAACGTTCACATATATGAATTATGCAGACTGAATGAGGACAAGAGACTGTTGCCTCATTCCACAAGTTCCATAGGAAATGAACGGAGAGAAACATTTATAAATTAACATTTAAAACAAAAGGACTTCCTTAAACTTTCCTGAGTATTAAAAACTTGGAACACTGAGAATCTTCAGACATCTTTGGTTTGAGATAATAAAACGTTTTCTTAAACAGTTTTTTGAAACTGTGCATACAGTGATGTTTTTTTGACATGAGTTATCTGGGCAGTTGCCCAGGGCAGCATCAGAAAGGGGTGGGGAATGCGAGAACTAGAAAATAAAATATCTATTAGTTGTCCCCTGAACAAGTTTGCTTGCTTCTTGTATGCATGTGTAGTGGAGAAAGCTTGAATACAAGGAGATTAAATGACCGGCTTTCTTCTGCATAAAACCCAGATAACTGCTTGCACTTTAATTGGGTGGAGTGCAGCAGAAGGAGGAGTTTGCTTAGGGAACCATTCCTGCAAGAACCACAACTCTATTCATATTTATATTTCAAGGTTACAGAGTTAGGCATAGTGATTAATCGTGATTAATGACAGTGCTAGTGTGATTAAGCTGACTATATATTTTTTAATTGATTGATTGCAGTAGTTAAGTTTGTATTATCACAAGTTCTTTTGATTTTATTATAAATTCACAGTAAATCTATCTTAACTAACCTAACCATAACTTGGTTCCTGTTAGTTTGTCTGTTTAGTTTTAGGATCAGCAAAATTCATCTACTCTGGAGACAAAACAGGTCGATAATGCTGATGAATATGTTTTGTGTTGAACTTGACATGTCTACCTTTGGATTTTGTAGGTACTTGGTGGGAGGTTACCTGTCAGCAGAGACTGTGGTGAACATGTTCAGTAAGGTTGTCATGGAAACTGCAAACTGGCCGTCAATCAGCAGCACTTTGGACTGTCAGGTCAGACCGGTCCTGGGAGGGCCTGAGCTGAGGCTGGAGATCCGGTGTGTGTGTGTGTGTGTGTGTGTGTGTGTGTGTGTGTGTGTGTGTGTGTGTGTCCTTGATGTTTCAAACATGTTCACTGAGCTCACCCCATGGTACTTTTTGTGTACTAACATGTTAATTGATGTGTACTAACATGTTAATTGATTTATTTTGTGAATGCTGAATTCACATTATGAATTGTTCTATATCCATATCTTAACTTTAGGATTTCTATGCAGTTGCCAACTTTTCTAAATCCAACATATTTCCAAAATAACAAAGCTTGAAAGTCTAAAAGAAGAAACAGAACAATATTCTGCTAGTTGATAGATCTGCTAAGTATCTCACAGATACTGAAAATAGTTCCATGGAGTCTTCCTCCCTCAGTAACAATGTACACCCCAAAGAGTTTGATGGATTTATTTGTAAATGTATTAAGTATTAAGAATGATACATTCAACATATGTAGCCTTAGGTTATTTTCAGATGTGTGCAGATTTTGGTCATCAACTTATTGATGAAATTGTAAAATGGTGAAAATGTTTTTACACCTGTTTTTGTGATCCTACAGGCCTGAAAGCGAAGCAGAGAGCAGCAACCAACCGCTCTTCATCTCGATGTTGCCCGTCCTCAGGGAGGGCAATGTAGTCCTGACAGCCCAGCCTGAGCTCACCTCCCCCTGGGTAAACGCCTGGCACCTCTCCCTCTACCCTTGGGAGACTCGGCGCCTGGCCCAGCTGGATGCCAGTGACGACGGCTGCCGCAGGCTGATGCTTAAAATCCTGAAGGCCGTGTGCAAACTGAGCCCGCCTATGCGACCCCTACAGGCCGCCCCGCTAACCAACCTGATCCTGCACCTCAGCGACAGCGAGAGCGACTGGTCTAAGAACAGCCTTGATGTCAGATTCCAGCAGTGTATCACTGAGCTGATTGGTCATCTGGAGCAGGAGGCGTTACACAGTTACTTCAAACCAGCCGTCAATCTGCTCAACGGTCTGTCTGAGGATCAGGTGGACCAGATGGGCTTTATGCTCTACTGTGCTATGTCAGATCCTGACATATTGCTCATTTGACTCCCTGGACCTCCACAGAGATTCAGAAGCTCCTTTGATGCCAACGGCTGCAGTTCCTGTAATAAGGCAGGTGGCGCGTCTGCAGAGTGACTGTCAGCGTGATGGTTAAACTGAGAAAAGTCCAAACAGAAGACGAATCGTGCCAATGGACAAAATGGAGGACAAAACGTTAATACTTTGGGATGCACCTCTGCTGCCAGTTTGGCGGGGTTTTTTTGTTTGTTTGTTTTTTGCACATTCGTAAATTACATTAAAGGCTTTTATTTCTTTTTGTGTTCTGACAGCAGTATTGTTCCATTATTTAAAAAAAAAATCATTTGAATACTACACCTATGCAGGACAGAGAACCTCTGCAGCATGGGTTTGATAAATGTGTTTGATCCTCATTAGGATTTGTTTAACTTCATATGAAAAACAATCATGCGCCAACATTTTGTGTTTTCTGTCTTGACTTTGCAGTTCATGTTAAACATTAATTCACCTGAAGTTTCAGCATTTTATGTACTTCATAAACAAAGGAACCTTTGTGGACATATCTCATCTGTGTTTTTGGTTGAGTGTTTCTTGTGTGTGTGGGTGTGAGGATGAAGGCAAATAAAATATTAATGTCCTTATTTACCCTACAATCCTGCATAGTGTTTGCTGTCCATGTCATGTCACTTTAGTAATGCTAATCAGATAAATAAACCAGCATCCCCATTAATAAAAGGTAGACTTAAATATTCATGATTTGTTCTCCTTTATTTCAGATTTAGTTTTCAGCATCTGCATAACACTATAAAACAGACTTGGAGACTTTTAGGTTTAAAGGTAAATAAATGTTTTTTTTGTTTGTTTTTTTGTTTATTGTGTATAAAGTAAACCAGTGAGATGATGGAACTGACAAGAAGGAATGACTGCTACAGGCTCAAGCTAAAATAACAATGAGACATTTTATTTTGACAATTTTTTTCTCCATATCTGTTCTGTTTCATTTCTTGTTCCTACAAGCCCTCTTTTGTTGTTTCAAATAATTTGGATCATTGTGGAATCATTTTTTTTTATTATTTCAGGTTTGGATAAATAAGAAAGAGGACCCAATAGGTTACTACTTCACTTGTAATTTTAGGTTTACTCTGCACTCAGTTCATTTCTATTCCATTTGACAACAAACACTTCTCAGGTATTAAGGCACAGGGAGAGGTCATATCAACTTTGACCTAATTCCAGTCAGTCTGATACATTCCAATATTATTAAATTGCAAACCGCTAAATTTAATCGAAAGTATAACATTGAAATCTGTTAATTGTTTAAACCCATTTGGTAAGAAGTTATTTATACAGAGAACATCAGTGAGTTCCAAAGATGCAATAACTTTGCAGCACTTCAGTTAGCAAATACATATGGTGACAGTGAAAAAGTTCCACTGCTTAAAAAGAAATCTTCTGCAATCTGTGATTGATTGGTGGCCATCTGGGACTAGAGGACCAGAAATTAGTCTTTATGTGAAAAAAGATTAAAGAAAACATATTAAATAGCTACCCATGTCCAATACAGTTAGACATGGAAGCATTAACCCAAGAGTTTTCAGTGGTTAGGAAAAAAAAGAACATAAGCAAAGAGCCTGGAATACTTTCTATAGGAAAGAAAAACAAAGAAGGCAGTGAAGCAACATAAATTAAATAGAATAAATGCATTAAGGGGAAGACACACGCTTGTGTACAGTAGGTGGCGGTGTACTCAAAAAGCTGCTCATGAGCCGGCAAAGCCAAAGAGGAAGAGACCACATCCTCCCAAGCTCAGCAGGCGCGGAGAACAAAATATTTCGGGACCGTTGGAGTTATTTTCAGGTAAGCAAAATTGCTAATTAAATTTGTTTGCATTTTTAAACAATGGCAGTGAACGTTATGTGGAAGAATGAAATACTTTCTCGTACTTCGCGCAATGTTTGCTTCGAATGAAAATAGCGTAGTGTTTAGAAAGTAATTGCCGTTGCCGAGACCTTTAAAGCCATTGCAGCTGTTACTCTGGCAAAGATGGTGAGAGCGTCGGAACTCCTCTTTGTAAACCGAATCACTGTCTTTTTTATTTTTTGCCTTACAGATTTATGATGGGGACCTCAGGGAAAAGTGAGGAAATAATCATCCTCAGTGATGAAGAAGATGATAAAGACACTTCCTGCCTCATTGTGGAAGTCGAAGCTGTGAAGAAGACCGGTAACGTTGCTTTTACAAACCTAATATTTTTGATAAGTTTGTCTGAAGGTATCCAACAAAAAGTTGATCCTTTTCTTTTCAGTTGGTGTTTTACCTGTAAGCCCTCAGGATGAAGACCTGGTGGTCACCTTCTCCCGTCGGCCAGACGTGCTTCCTCACGCCCGTTACGACTGCCCCATACACCTTTTTATGTGAGGAAACTCGACGGACCCACTAATGCAGATCGCGGTGTTTAGAATAATTTCGTGGCTTAGCAGACAATCACTGCTTGTTTTCTGTCCTGCTCAGGCCTACAGATTGTGAGAGGACTGCTCCCATGGCCAATAATCAACTTATTTGTGATCAGTGCTTCTGCTACGTCTGCGACAAGCTGGCGTCACTGGTGCGTGAGGATGATGTCTTTATATCCCTTACTAGAGATGCACCTATCAGGCTTTTCCTAGTCAATATTTTCAGTTTTTCTGTAGGTTTTATCTGCTGATTTAGACTCATTACTTCTTCAAAATGTCTGCTTTACAAATCTGTATATCAGGGACCCCTGCTCTTACTCCTTGTGGGGCCCCTGCTGCACATTTTTAGATGTTGTTCCTTCAGTAAAACGCCTCAAATATGCTGTCAGGTTCAGCTGTGCTGAAGCTTGAGCGTCGTTTTTGATCAAATAAGAATTCCACCTGTGTGATCATCTAACGGTGCGTGTTGTGGTTGTGTGTCAGTGTGAGATGTGGTGCTGCAGTGGAGAGTGTCACTGCAACAGCCACAACAAAAGTGACTTCTGGAATGGCGTTAGGAACACGGCTCTGCTAGGGGATCTGCAGAGGTTCAATCTCACCCTGTCAGAAGTCGACCATCGTCTTCGTAATGCAGGTGCAAAACGTCTTCATGCTCTTAAACGCGTCTGGTCATTTTAAATGTTGCTTTTATTAAAGTTTCCTTCCTACTTTTTTTTTTTAACTTTGATTTTTCCAACTCCTTTTCAGACGCGATGTTGCAAAGCTTCAGAGCCAAACTGTCGGCTCTGTTTTCCTGCATTACGTTGGATCAGGCGATACTGCCAGATTACAACATGAACCAGCAGGACCTGAGCTCCAGGTGAGCTTTTTAAAACAAAACTTAAACAATATATTTTATGTGTCTTTGAAAAAACTGCTGAACGAGTAAGCATTACCTTTAGAAGTGAAAAGTGCTGCAATAATCTTACTTCAGTTTTGAAGATTTTACAGGAGACCTATTTGAAAAAGTTGAGAAACTACAGATTACATTATGCCATTTAAAAACGCATAATAAGCTAAACTTATTCCTGTCTTTTTTTTTTCTTTGTGTTTCTCAGATATGGACCTGTGGTTGAATGTGTGACCCAGTTCCTGAATAAAGCCGATAAGCAGAACAGTCGGGCTGCGGCCATCATGCATCTTGGAGCTGCTGAAGAGTTTATGAGACATTTTCAAGTGTTGGGGTGAGCGAACTGGAGGCGGCTTCTAAATTTAACTCAGGATGTGGGATTTGTTACGTTTAAGGGCTAATGATGGAAATGTGGAGTATTTTTATATTTCCAGTCATTATTCATCATCTTGTCTTTGTGTCGTCTCCATCTGTCTGACATCCTGTGATATTTGCAGATGCTGTCAGATCTGAAATTCCTATAGTAAATCATAAAATAATATCATATTTGTAATTATAAAATAGGCCAATAATGGAGTTCAAACTCTAATTAGAGTCTGGATAGTAGAGAATTCAGGAATTAAAGTTGTCAGCTGTTAACTCACCTTCTCTCTCTCTCTCCTTCACTCCATTTTCTTTAACATCTACAGGTTCATGGGTTCATCTTCAGCTGCTACAACCTCTGAGACTATAATAACATTACTGCACAGGTAAAGAATAGCGATGCAGCATTATTAAGTTTGTACATTTTATAGTCCTTGAGGAATTATTAATATTTTAAAAAATTTTGGTAAACACACTTTGATGTTCAAAAAGAAACGTCTGAACCCGACATTATTGGCTACAAACACAAACTTGCTAACATGTATATATGATTAATGCTTTTTTTTCAGTCATTCTATTGGATAATAACTTTGCTTTTTATGGTATTTTTTCCAGAGTAATATCATCAGTACAGAGACGTATAGTAATGGGTGACATTACGCCATTGTTTCTGCAAAAACTGCAAACATTTTACCAGAACAGGATATGTTTCCCAGCTGACATGAGGCAACTAAAAAACAGGTGTGTATCAAAGCATTTTAACTCTAAAAGTTCAAATCCTTCATATTTGGACGTAACTCTTCATCTGTGTGCTGCAGTCTGACCATCCGGCCCTGGCAGGACGTCCTGCTAGTGTCGGTTCTGAAGGGGCAGAACGTGTCGGGCTTCCGGAAGGACAAGGGCAAGAAGGACGTCCTGCTAGAAACCATTTCTGTGGTCCTGCTGAGAACTGAACTGCTCCAGCTTCAATCCAGGTTAGCATGTGTGCTACTTCATACACATGTCAGTGTTTGTACATTCAGTCGGTCTCTGGAGGAACGATGAAGCATCCTGTGTTTTAACTGTGTGCAGGTACAGAGAGTTGTGTCGGTACCTGCGAGTCGTCCTGACCGATAACGTCACACTGTGAGTTTAACCCACGTCCTGCTGTATAAAAATAACAAGTGTGTTTAGCATTTTATGGCATCAAAATGTGTCAGGTTCCAACATAGCAGCAGCATCTCACTGAAATGCTTATTTTCAGGGCTGCACCGATTGCAGGTTTCTGGCAGATCGCTGATACCAGAGCTTTAACCTGTCTGTCACTAGAGGACCCAAATTTGGGTCCTCTAGTGACTGTCAAGTGTCCTATAATTTCATGGCTTCCTACACTTGAAAAGGAGGACTTGAAGACTTCAGGAATTCACTCAATCTTTTTTATTTTCACCAATGAGTGAGAACCAGTGAACAGAACAGGTGAAAAACCTACAAAACGCATACAAAATATTTTAACATACATTTTAGACATTTGGGTCAAAGTTAATAATTTATCTTAATGACTAATTCCATTTTTAACCTTAAACATACATTTCTCTTACAATTTTAACCATAAATTCACAGTATTAAATTATTAAATTTCATGTCTGGTTGAATTTGAATCAAACAAATCCACACATTTTTGAATTACATTTTTTTTATTTTTCTTAGGACATGATGTTTTTACATTAAATATCAGTTGCTGTGAGTTTAACATACATTTAGTGGAACCAAACTATAAAACTAGCAATGCAAACCGTTACTTCAATAAATTCTTCATTTCATTTCTCAAATACAAAACTACAGTCAAATTACATTCAATTGAGCCCAGTTAGTGGCTTACCGGTAGTCCTTATAAGTCCTTTTCCATGAAATGCTGCTTTGGAGGCTGTGTTTGCCTTCCTCAGCTCTGTTGCAAAACCAGTAAAGTGGTTAGTGGATTCCTTATATACCTGAGTTGAGGGTGCTGCTGATTGGGCCAGATTTCTTTCACCTGCTGAGAAGTGCTGCAGAGTGGCATACTAATGTGTGTGTGCACACACAAATGTCTATTCATGCATCCACATCTGAACTAATAAGCAGATCTGCGCAACACCTTCCACTCGATCTTGCAAGGTTTTACCTGGGAAGATCGCATTTTTTAAGCGAGCTGGTTCCCTCTACTTGGTCTTCTGCTGGGATGAGCACTACAAGGCGCCGGACGTCCCGATGGAGTATGGTGCCCTGAACCTCCTTCACCAATCCAGAACATTTCACAGGAGGTTTTGGTGTATTTCCCGAACTATACCCACTTGGAGACACTTTCACATAAACATCCCGGACTATGCCCTTGCAATCAGGATTCACAGCAACAACTCTACCCATCTTGAATTGCCCCCTTAGTGCGTTTTGGTCGCAGAGCCAGACCACATCGCCCATAGCAACATTTCTTTCAGCAGTATGCCACTTGCCACGAACAAACAAGTTGGGACCTGCAAGTTGACTCCAGGACCTCCAAAAGTAGTCAACTTGAGTTTGTATTTCTCGGAGCCTTTTAAAGGGATAAGTGGTATAGTCAAATGTCTTGAAATCTCCACTTTGTGTAGCTCGACCGAGCAACAGGGTGTTTGGAGTGATGTACTGTATTCGATCTTCATGGCTCTGTACTCTAGCATCAATAGGTCTTTTGTTGGCTAGATTGGCAGCTAGCTTAACCGTCGTAAGAAACTCACTGAAGGTAAGGCCTTCCACTCTGCCAAGACTTTGGAACGCTCTTTTAATGATCTTGACAGCAGCTTCAGCTGCGCCGTTGCGATGTGGTGAATCGGCTGGAAGAATTTTCCATGTCCAATGAGTCCCATTTTTTGCAGCATACTCTTCAAGTGAGAATTTGTCTTGCTGTCTCAGGTAAGCATACATTTCTTGCAGAATGGGTTTTGCCCCAATAAAATTCGTACCTGGGTCAGACCACACCTTCTGGGGATGACCTCTGATGGACGTAAACCTCTGGTAGGCAAGTATGAAGCTCTCTGTAGATAGTGTGTTTGCCAGTTCAACATGAATGGCTCTACTTGACATACAGCAGAACAACACACCCCAAACTTTCATGCTTACTCTTTTCTTGACGTCATCTTTCACCTGGTAAGGGCCAAACAAATCAACAGATATGAACTGAAATGGTGCACTTGGACTAGACCTTTCTTCAGGCAGATCCCCCATTATTTGCTGACAGGTTTTCGCTCTCACCTTTTTGCACAATACACACTCATCGACAACTTTTCTGGCAATGACTCGTCCTCTGATGACCCATGCTTTCTTCCGCATACGCAACAAAGTCCCTGCCACTCCATCATGTCCTTCACTGTGTGCTGCTCGGGCTAGAAGAGTAGAGATCCAAGATTGGAAAGGCAACAGAGGAACGGCTCTGTGGTCCTCCTTAAAAGTCTGAACTCTGCCACCACACATCAAGAGCCCGCTTTTTCCATCTTTGTAGACAACCAGTCTATCAGTCGTTGTGGTTGGAAATTGTACACCTTCTTGTGCTGCCAGGCATAGATCTCTGAACACATCTTCTCTTTCGCCAACTGTAATGACACCAGATAAAGGGACCACCTCCCACTTTTCTTTATCTGTGACCTTGACATGCAGGAACTTTTTTGCTGCTCTCCAAATCCATGCAACTACTC